ATTCGCCATCACATCCAAGCAAGAGGACGGATGATCGCTTCCCGTCGTCCTCTTAATCTCAGATTCTCTGAGCTTCGCGAAAAATGCGATTTGCTTCAGGTGGTCCTGAGGGGAAGCCCTTGCAAGGGGCAGTCGTTCATAGATTGTGGCAAGCTTTACGCCAGCGCTCTTGCTCCTTGTTTGTACATTGTTGCCCTGCTCCCGCTTTTGTTTCGTTTTCTCTAATACTTACGAGTTGCTGGCTCACTGTTGCACTATTACAACTCCAGTAGGGAAGATAAGGCTCAGAAAAAATTCGTCACTGTAAATTCTCCTAAGGGAGTTATCGAGGGTCCCGTTCACAAATAAGGCATCCATTTTTGGCGTTGGCGCCATGGCTGATTCTCATAAAATTCGCTGTAAACTGTATATAGGGTTATTTGGGGTCCTGATTATGAATGTGGCCTTCATTTTTGTCTTGTCTACATTTCAATGATTCCCACGAAGTTGTTGATTAAACTCATGCGGAACTAGAGTTTGCCATGCTGACCGTGCATGTTGAGCATTTTTTGGTTTATGGGTTACTTGAACTTTCTTCTATGATCGCCACATCTGGCGGAGAGCACATTAGCGGATTAGGGAACGGCGCCTGGCTTGCTCTAAATCTTTAGAGGAAGGAAGAAGAGGATTGACAGCCCTAGGACTAAACCTTGGAGTCTGGGGTTGGTGAGCAAATTGCATTGTGCCAAAAGTTTGAAAGTGTGAAATCACAGTAGGCTGTCTAGGCTAGAGAGCACAAAGTTGCTCCAAATTGTGGCGGTTTTAAGGATCGAGCTTAAGTAGTCCGTTGACCTTTTTTGGTTCGGCAAAGATATCCTCTTAGTTGGAGAACTACATTGTCTGCGGGTATCTTCTCACGAAAAGATACGGGATACGATATGTCTGCTGCTTGCAACACTAGTATGACCGGCATGTCTTAGGCCCCATTCATTTCGACATTCCGGCATTTCTCACGACTTCAGCGACCTTCGCGATAGGCTGAAAGAAATAGATGTGCATCGATTGAAATAGCTCCGTCCAGTGAGCGTTCGTCGACGCGGAATACCGGCGATCTTTTTGATCGATACTTATGCATTCCTTTCAGAGTAATCGTATAATCGCTGAAATCGTGAGCTATGAACGATGGAATTCGTGATAATTCTCTAAGCTTAAGCCTTCGAGAATTATCACGAGTTCGCTCACTGCCACATCAGATTTTCGCTCGGCCAAGAATCGCGATTTTAATTTCAGTGAGGTGAAACTCAGTGTCTGGGGCAGATCTCATACAGAAATCGACCGTTGCTTGAGTTTGTTAAACGACATTTCATTTTTTTCTGATCGTGAATGGTAAATGCAGGAAACCTATCCCTTCAGTTCGCACTTTTGACTGATTAATTCCCGTTCCGAACTTATATTTATATTTAATATGATGTCATTACACCTGGTCATTAGCTACTCATTCAGGATTCCGTTGAACCGTTCTCTGTATTTGGGGACATGAACGAAGACATCGTAGTGTCCAAGTCGTGTTATGATAATTTCTCAGTGCCAACTCCATGGCGTAATTTCCAAATCATAGTGGAGGATACATCGTTGTAAGTCTGCTTTTATTGCTGATTGCTTACCTTATTCCTTTGCAGCAGAATTCCAAAACCCTGGAATTAAACGTTATCTGAAATTTCAGCTATGTAAACGCTGGCTGGTTAGCAGAGCTGTCGTCATTCTTTGCTGACTACTGCTTTGGTGAAGAAGCACACAATTCTTTGATCATAGATGATATCAAACCTTCTGAAATGCTCGAGTTTTTTCGTTGTATCTTTTTTTGTCCTATGAGGAAACCGCTCACAGGTGAGATTTCGAGGAAATTTTTCTCTGCCTTGAAGGAACGCTAGTTTCTCAAGTCTCACGTAAAAGTTTTAAGTAAAGGGTCGCACACGGTCACGGTCAGGCAAGTGACAGACTTTGAGTCCGTCGCGCCGCACTTGTAAAAAATTTTACGCACAGGTTTTGTTTGTTAACTGCTGTTTTTGGCCGCAGTTCGCCTTGCGAATGTTAATGTTAGAAGTTTTGTTCACAAGCCAGCATTCTTGCGAAACATTTAGGCTGATGTCAGAGTCCGCGATCCTTTGCGCGATTTTCGCGATTTGCGCGATTTTCGCGATTTACGCGGTTTGCGCGACGGGTCACGGAAATCACAAGTGCCCCATCAATACTGCAAGGTGTTCTCCAATCCCGCCGTCACTTCTGCTTGATGGTTATGGTTTAATGGAGATGCTCATAATTCCACTTGTTTTAATCCAGTGTTTCACTTGTTCAAATGG